TGGAATAAAATGAATTAAACAATACTTCAGATACGTCATCTTTACAATGTCAAGCTATTACAAACTTTTTCTTAAACCTTGGCTGTAATAGTCACCTTTCTAGAAGCATGGAAGTTGCCAATGCACCAATTTGATTGGATTGTATGCAACCGAATACAGCAAATAACAGCCCTTGACAGAAAGGAGACACCATAAGTCATTTGCTCTGATTGGCTGTATTCACCTGTGCACAATCCAATAAAATTGCTGCATTGCATGAAACAAGAAAAGTGACTATTGCAGAAGAAGTTTGTAATAGTTTGACATTGTGAAGCTGACTTCAGATAATATGCCACAACTTTCCACTTTTGTGTAGAATACCAGATGATCAAAGGTCATCATTCAGCCTTACATGGATCATTTGCACTCATTCAATGAATGGAATAAAGCGCTTATAATACTTTTACATTGATACTCATCTATAAATCAGGAAATGGATAGCAAACCCTTGTATTTTTCAGGTGCCATAAGATAAAAGATATAGTTTTTGACAGAGCAATTATTTTCATGTAATGCTGCCTATACCGAAAGGCTATAAATGAATGCATTTAAACTTTTTAAGTTGTAAGACTTCTTTACCTTGTTTGCTGATAGATGGAGCTGCTCTTTTAATAAATCTTTGAATTCGTCTAACTCTAGACATCCTGTTTGGTTGACGTCTGCTGTTAAAAATGCTTTCTTTAATTCTTCAAGGGTATCAATATTAATCTTTTCTTCTATCTACAAATAGAGGCCCATACAAATAAAATAAGCTCAGATGTACTTATGTAACTTTAAGTACGGATCATTCTTGAATTTCTGATCTTAATGTTGAATATTTTCAACATTACTATTTCTGTAGAACATTTACTAGAATTATAAATTTTAGATAATCAGACTTTATTTCCAGGGATGTAAATCAACAAAAAAATTGACAAAAATGAAATCTTCCATAAAAAACATGAAAAATACAAATATGATATCCCCTTAATATATTGCTTTATTTGATGTCTACTGTAAAGGTGGTTACAGTGTGAAATCTATGGAAATCATTGTCATTTTTCAAACATTTAAACTTGTGTTCACAATACTAAACTATTCAACTATTTCTTTTGAATATCAAACTATATTACTTGTACATCAAAACTATAGAAAATCAAACTTTTAAATAACCTTATACATGTATTATTTTATTTTAGAATCTTAAAGCATTGTTCATGATCAGCTTAATTTTTTAATTGTTGGTCCAACTGAAGAAAATCCCATATATTTAAGCTAATGATCTTGTGAGTATAGTGAGGTATGTAGAATTCATTGTAGAACCAACTTGTTGGAAACAGTTGTCATCATTTAACTTGATGACAATGTAGCCTAAATTGTTCAAACGTTGTGTACAATCAAGCTCCAGGAAAGTATTCCATAAAATTAATCTCCATTATAAAATTAGATTTCTTCCCTTGAATATAGCGTACGGTTGTTTTTAAGTTAGCCATCCATTTCCTAAATATTAAATAGATGAAAATTTTTTATTATATAAACTAGTTTTCAAAACATTTTCCAAAATTCAATTCTGTCTCAAAACTTCTCATCATTACAAATGATCTATTTCCATCTCGCTAATAATTTGTTAATATATTGTTAATAAAATAGATCAGCTAATGATATAATAGAGTAGTAATAACCTGCACTTATCAACTGTCTCTTATATAAATTATTGTTGGATGGGAAACACATGCGTTAGCCATCCATTTCCTAAATATTTAATAGATGAAAATATTTTATTATATAAACTAGTTTTCAAAACATTTTCCAAAATTCAATTCTGTCTCAAAACTTCTCATCATTACAAATGATCTATCTGAATTGTTGCGGTGGAGCCTAAGTGAGTAACAGTCTTGCTAGGAGAGGCTGGTTCCAGGCATATATCTAGATAGCCTTATAAGTTATGCAGATCATAAGGCATGACATAAAATAGCATCTAGTCTTGGGATGGGACAACAAAAAATCTCTTGGATGCTAAAGGCTCTATGATCCCCATACAGCAGGAAATCTGCATATTTCAAAATCTCATTTCATGAGATAAGTAGAACTTAAAACTGTATTTCATTTGATTTCGTTTTTCAAAGAATTATATGCTAATGATCTAGTCCTACCTCTGTGGTATCACCATATTTTCCATATAGAAATATATTGTTGTTATGAAATGATTCATCAAGATGATTATCAACACTTTGAGCACCTTTCCGATCATCGCTAGATAACGATGAAAACTTTGAAATATTTCCATAGCAGCATACTGACCGTGAAGAAAATCGTTTAAATCCTGTTACTAAAGGTAGATTATCATTCAAATACAGCTTGGTGTTACTTTCCATTATGCGGCTAACAGATTCAAAAATAATCTCTATTTTCCACAGTAAAGATTCCCAATCTGAAGCCGGAAAGAATTTCTTATGTGTGAACCTGTTTTGAAACACACATCTTTATCTTTTTTTCCACTTTTCACAAAATTGACAGTCTGTCACCAGGAACCACACACCATAAAACTATGGAGATTTACAATTATAAGATATTCCACTTAAATTTTACCAAAGTTAGATCTTAATTCCAAGGTAAATTTGCAGGAAACATAATTAAGAGCAATAAATCAAGATCTGTCACTGAACTCTGGTAATCAACAGGAATTTATTAAAATAGGTTCCCACCAATACAGATCACAAAAATAGTTTTCATGGAATTATTTACATGTTGTGCAACAGATTATTCATTAACATGAATATAATCTTATATATGTTTTCTGGCAGTAAAATGAATAATTGGACAGAGACAGTTTGTTTTACTAATAATCTATGTAAAAACCTGACAATCTTTCAAAGAGCGGAAAATTCTTAAAAGACATTGAAGCTAGCTAGGATTTCCGTTTAAACAAAATATCTAAAAGTCTACCTAAGACTTTGTCATCTTTAGAAAAGAGAAATAAATCTATACCTTGAAAGTCTAAAAGACCTGGGAATCTATCTTTAAAGTATTTAAACTCACTGTAATAAAAGTCAATAAATGTCCAGTAATGAAGATATAAACAATAGTTTTCACTTCCACCTTTATTAAACTGATTATTTATTATCAAATAGTGTGACCAATCTCAGTTATAGTTACTTAAAAACTCGTCATGAAAATAACCTTTCTCAAATAAGACATCATACATCCTTCAAACAATGAAAAGTTAACTTATTTTTCATTTTATTTTGTTAACTTCTGAAATATTATCAGCAAAATCAGAGAAAAGGTGATATTGATACCATTTGTATTTCTTTGAATTTGAGCTATATTTTTGTGTCAATAAAACAGCATGACCAGATTACCTGATACTCTTGGCGACTGGGTTTGTCAACTTAGCATCTCACTCACACAGCTTAAAATATTCAATTGAAGTAAACATTGTTGCCTAATTGATGCTCATCCAAAGTCACAAGGGGTGTGCCTGTGCGACGTGATTTAGAAATTTTTCTCCAATACCACTTACCTCACCCTTCACCAAGTGTAAATTTTGGGAAGAAACAGGACCATAAGTTTTAAGAGCTGCTGCTTCATTGATAGGACGTTTGTTTTGACCAGGTCTTTCATCAACATAAAATAATAATTTCCGTCCCATTTTAAATGTTGATGTCAGAGTTGACCATTTGGATCTGGCAATTTCAGATCGGGATTGCACTGACTCTAAATCTGGTTTAAAATTCTCCATTTCTATCTAAACTCCTAACTATTTATGAAATCAATTTAAAAAACAAATTACTTAAGATGATTTAAGGCCAATTAACAGTTCTGATAAAATGTCTATAATAAACAATTTACATTTTCCATAAATATACAAACCAAGCTTAAAAATAGCAAGTGTACTTTCAATAGTCAGTTAGCTAAACAATCAGGTCAACTCTTGACATCACAATATAATATGGAGCAGCACATCTATTACTAGTTGCTTGAAAAACTCTCAAAAATGGTCATCTAATCCATCAGACACTAAAACTTGATGTTCACTTCAGATTACCTTTGAGAAAAAGATAAAAGTGAAGTGATTTGAAACAAGAATGAAGACTATATGGTAGCTATAAACAATATGAATAATTAAACATCTTACTTAATCAAATATTTATCAATTAGCACATCAGCATTATTATTGTCTACCTATTGGTATTAACATCATCATTGTATTGTCATAAAAAAGGATCACTTTATTCTTCCAACAGGTGTTCCTTGCATTAAATCATTCACAAGAACAGTTGATTGCAAATAACAATGGGTGAAGAACTAGTATCAGTTCAGTTTCGGTTTTCTGAACATCATTTACTAACAATGAATCACCTGAACATCATTTACAAATATTGGATCACATGAACATCATTTATTAACAATGGATCACCTGAACATCATTTACTAACATTGGATCACCTGAACATCATTTATTAACAATGGATCACCAGAACATCATTTACTAACATTGGATAACCTGAACATCACCTACTAATGATGGATAACCTAAACATCATTTACTAACATTGGATAACCTGAACATCACCTACTAATGCTGGATAACCTAAACATCATTTACTAATGTTGGATAAGATGAAAATCCTTTACTAATAATGGATCACCAAAACATTTACTAACCATGAATCATCTGAAAATCATTTATTAATATTGGATCACCTGAACAACATTTACTAATATTGGATTACCCGAACATCTCCTATTAACATTATTTTCTTACTCTGGATTACCTGGTGATCTTTTACTAACCTAAACATCATTTAATAATATTGGATCATCTGAACATCATTTACTAACAATAGGTCACCTGATCATCATTTACTAACAATGGATCACCTGAACATCAGTTACTAACATTGGATCATATGAACATCATTTACTAATTTTGAATCACCAGTGCTTCATTTACTAACATTGGGTCACCTCAACATCATTTACCAACCATGATTCATCTGAAAATCATTTATAAAATATTGGATCACCTAAACATCATTTACTAACATAAGATCATCAGAAATCACTTACTCTGGAATACCTGGTGATCTTTTACTAACATTGGACTACCTGAACAACATCATTCACAAATATTGGATCACCCAAACACAATTTACTAATAATGGATCCACTGAACACCATAATAGATCACCTGAGCATCATTTACTAATAATGGATCCACTGAACACCATAATAGATAACCTGAAATCATTTACTAACATTGGATCGCCTGAACATCATTAACAAACATTGGATCAACTTAATACCATAATAGATCACCTGAACATCATTTACTAATAATGGATCCACTGAACACCATAATAGATCACCTGAACATCATTTACTAACATTGGATCACCTGAACATCATTTATTAATATTGGATAACCTGAACATTGTTTACTAAGAATGGATCACACAAACACCATTTACTAATAATACTGGATCATCTTAACATTATTTTCTAATATTGGATCATCTGAACACCACAATAGATCATCTGAACATAATCTACCCACATTGGATTTACTGACCCTCACTTACTATCATAGCATCACCTGGACTTCATTTACTTATATTGGGTCACCTGAACAACATTTACTAACAATGGATCACCTGAACATCATTTACTAATAATGGATCACCTGAACATCATTTACTAATAATGGATCACCGGAACATCATTTACTGATGTTGGATAATCTGAACATCATTTACTTAAATTGGATCACATGAGGCTTTTTTTTCTTTCTTGGAAAAAGGGAACATTTGACTCCATGCCAATTTTTATGAGTGCATGTATAAGTCATGTTTAATTCATTTACAATCTCATTCATAACATCTTTCATTCTTTGAAAAAAATTATGAGTTTAATACGAGAATGGAGTTGTATGTACTTATGTTGTCAAGTGATATATATTTGACCGGTAGCAGATATATTAAGTGTTGGGCGAAGTGATTGATATAATCGCCTATTAGATCCCACGGGTATTGATTATTAATCAAATACCTGAATTCATTACTAGATTATATATGACACGCGTCAGCCATGACAAGCCTTCACGATTTTACACCTTAATCTACAATGGTTGCTACAACAAACCGCCATTTTGTGTTAAACGGTCACACAAAATAACAGTCTGCACGAATATGTCCATGAATAAATAATGTTTAACAAAATAAAGTCAACCATTCTGTTAAAAATAGTCAAATTTAAATGGCTTTTCATCAAGTCTTATACCCAACAAATACAAGATGTAACTGTAAACATAACTTGCAAAGAACTATCAACGAAATATTGGCCCTATAAGACTAAATTGAAAATCTTCATGCATGCTAACAGGCCAACCTCGACAAGCTCTGATTCCACGTGACAAAACTTTATTAAAGTAACATAAACTTACTTTTGATTTTAATTGATCTGACACGGTTCCCGTTGTAAATCCAGGTCGAATAATCGTTTCATCCTCCCCGACTCCATCCACGGCTGCTATTGTCAACCTTCTTGGATGTTTCACACTGTCATCAATTTCATTCTCTGCATTATTATAACTCTTAAATTTCCAGGCTCTCCTGGGACCTCCAGCCTGGGTAGCTGGTCTTTGTAACGGCAATCCAGTGTCGGGACCTCTAAACGAAGCCGTCGACGGTCTGTTGATATTTTTGTCAAATAATCCAGAGTTGAAAGAAGGGTGAGTCTGTAAGTTTGCTGCTGCTGATGATGGTCGAATCTTCTTCAGATTTTTTGATTCCTTCTCCTGCTTCATATTGTGAAGGCTTAAATCCACACAACCTTGAACACCTGAATTCACCTATAAGATCAACATTGACAATATAAAAAAAGCCCACACCATTAGTGGTCTATAGATTACAATAAAACTATATGGTAACTAGTCAATACAACTATACACCGGTTGACTAACCTTCAAGGGGGGTGTTAGAACAAGGCATTGGGTGATTACAGATAAGCTTATTACGATAAACAACCTTTTAGCTGTTTAAATACCCTGATTTCCAATTAACTTCTAAAGTGTTGATTAGATTACGGAATGAATGAATAAATGTGGTGTATATTTCAGGTTAAATTTGTGCAAAGAGAATGAATTAATTAGTATCAAAGAGGACATGAAGGTATTAACAGGCTATAATACAGGTATGAACAGTCGCTTTAGATGTATAAAAAGGCAAATGAAATGTTAAGAGGCAAATGAAGTCATGAGCAGGTGATGTGAAAGTGAACTGGCAAAATGAAGGTATGAAGATGCAAATGAAAGTCTCTAAGAACTGACAATATGATGCTATGAACTACTGGCAAAATGAAAGTGCCGGTATGAAAGAAATGAGGATGAACAATGAATCAAAGGGTTTGAACCGATGATTGGACCCATCATAAGCAGAGAAGATCAATTAATGACGATCAGACGAAAGTTAAGACATTACGAGACGAGATAACGACAGGAGCAGATTTTTTACTTGCTATCGGACGTGAATGAAGCATGAACGCACGAAATTAATTGAAACAGAGCCTTGTAAGCAGTCGAGATTGAGAAATGAACATAAGAAGAGCTGAAATCGAAAGGCATCAATATATGTGGCAAAACACACATGTTGACGAACTTCATACCTGGATTAACGCACCTGGAAAAAAAAGTCTATTTATTTTTCTGTTACTGTCCACACAAATTTTTTATCTAGAATCGTGTTTTCATTTTCTTGAATGACAATAAATATACGTCACAAGTCATTATGTCTGGTTCTGTTACTAAAAGTAGGTTGAGATTGTTTTCAGCTTTCGAAAAACAGAACATAATAGAACGTCCAGATATATCATCAAAGGCTTAATAACAAGGTTAAGTTGTAAGAATACGTGTAATTTGCTTTATATTAAAGAATCTAGGGTACAATTGGAATGGCCCTGACTTCAACTTTGACTTCTGATGAGTGTCTCTGCTCGCAGGTAAAACTTACACCAAGCCCACAGGTCAACATTGTGACCGCTTTAGGGATACAAACTGGCATCAGACCAACACTTCAACTTTGTGATTTCTCTCGAGATACAAACTGGCATCAAACTAACACTTCAACTTTGTGACTTGTCTCGAGATACAAACCGGTATCAAACGAACACTTCAACTTTGTGACTTGTCTCGAGATACAAACCGGTATCAAACGAACACTTCAACTTTGTGACTTGTCTCGAGATACAAACCGGTATCAAACGAACACTTCAACTTTGTGACTTGCCTCGAAATACATACTGGCATCAAACCAACACATCAACTTTGTGACTTCTTTCTGGATACAAACCGGTATCAAACCAACACTTCAACTTTGTGACTTCTTTCTGGATACAAACTGACATTTATATCAAGACCTCAACTTTGTGAATTCTTTCGGGATACAAACCGGCATCAAACCAACACTTCAACTTTGTGATTTCTCTCGAGATACAAACTGACATCAAACCAACACTTCAACATTGTGATTTCTCTCGAGATACAAACTGGCATCAGACCAACACTTCAACTTTGTGACTTCTTTCGGGATACAAACTAGCATCAAACCAACACTTCAACATTTATACTTCTCTCAGGATATAAACTACCACCCAAGTGAACACATTTAATTTGCTCTCGGAATACAAAGGTACACACAACCAACAGGTCAACACTTAGACCAAAACATCGTATCTATTCCAGCCTCTGATAGCCATTTGGACAGATGTCAGCTGGTGTAGAGACAGAAAAAATAGGCCCCGTTAAATGGGAACATTTAAAACATAAACATTTAGATAACTCGGATCTGCAAAAGCCAGATATGTTTGGAAAGATGAATATTTTTGTAGTTCAGTCATACAATCATTTTCTCCGTACACCATTTTGATCATTTCTTACTGTATTACTAGTTAACTAATAGTAGGCTAATTACGTTGAATAAAAACACTTTGTAGGCTGTAGTTGAATTTAAAAAAAAAACAATTTGAAAACGTTTAGGTCTTCTAGTTCTACTGGTGATTAGGCCCACAATATGTCCTACGTCTACGAGGATACCAGAGTTATCTGATTCGATTTGGTCTAAAAACCATTTATCCTGTATCAAATCAATTTTGATTATGGTAATCAGCACATTTATTGTATCTGCGAATCAAATCGATATACGTTAATCGAGTAAATCAGCTTTGGAGCGTCGTAGCTCTGTTAACTTCCGCTTTAGTAATGGCGTCTAACATGTCAAAACCATTACGTGCAGGGTAATTTCTTCCTGCCTTGCCGCCATCTTGGAAACTATAAATAGTATAATGTTCATTTATCCTGCAGTATAAATAAGATTCAATTTGTGACGTCATTTTGATTAGGGTAATCGAATCAGATTTAAGTGCCTAAAAATGCCTTAGAACTTGGTCTACGTGTCTACACTGTAAATGTAAATAACATAAATCAGGCTAGGCTAGGTTTGGAAGCTTTTTAACGGGAACATTCGATCTACCTGCGCTAAACTATGTTTATAGATAGTTTTGTCTCAGGATTCTCGGAATACGTGGCAGTAAGTTTGAAACCAAACCCCCCAAAAATACACCCGATTCTATCAAGTTAGCCATGTTGATAATTTTATCTGCATTCAGTTATTGGAGTTACTTCCCTTTACCATTCATGGGAGATAACTCTCTGACATTGGAAATCAACAGGTCCGCTATTCTATCTTAAAGTGATGCTACATAATATTAGAATTAACATAAAATTTAAAAATTTTAAACTTGGCGACCATGGGCCAGTAGATATACCCTGTGTCATAAATAACATAACAGGATCCTTATATTACCCGATAAATCCAAAAAACTTAGTAATTACCCATGAATATACAATTAACTATTGAAAAACGCTTAATATCAAGACTGAGCATTTTTCAATAATTACTTATTTTTATGAATTTTCCAATTTTCCAGATTTGATAGGGATTCTGTTGTAACTTTATGACACCAGGTAAGCTAACTGATGAATATAGACTATATTGACCTTTTCGAGAACTTAAATTTTATATTCATTCCAAGATGTAGTATCACCTTAATCTTTGCCTAGAATGCGATAAAAAACACAACAGGGGTCCAGTTTACATAACGATGTTTTTGGGAAAATCTATTGTGTTAGCCAGTAGGACTGAAGGTAGACCCAAAGTACGCAGTGCGATAGATTCGGGATAAACAAATCTTTTCTGTCTCTGACTGGTACAACCGCACCCATAATTATTTGTCATTGCTTAGGCTATAGTTATATTTAATAAGCTTAATGTCAAAACCTATAGATATCCAATCGATATACGATGAGTGCGATTATGGATTCTGCGATTTATTTTTACTGTCCAATACAACTCATTTATTAAATCAAATATCCGTGCAAATTGTTCTAAGACACAGATCAGTCTTTGAACAGTACTTTTAGAGGGACGAACCCACTCTGACTCCTTTGCGAAAGCGAAAGTACTATAGTAGGCCTATGTGTCAATTAAAATAAAGGGACAGTTTCGCCATTTTTTTACCAATGCGTAGCCTTAGTCTCAGAAACAGGATTTTTTTGCAACCTAACAACTCAATGTCGAAATTTGAGACTCCAAATCCATGCGTACGTGTCCAGAATTATCCTCGTTTGAATGTTAAAAAGACGAGTCGTCTTTTCTTGAGACACTGTCAAATATATAAACAAGACATCTATAGAAATAGGAAGTGAAATCCTTAGTTCGAGATATTTTTAAAGGAATAGTGCGATTTTCGTACATATAATCCAGTAGGCCTACTTCTGAAAACTATATATATTCACCACTATCAACCCCCAAAACGGCGTACCTATCCATTTAATACTATAATAAGCTTATATTGTATTCAAAAAGCAATTGGGCTATAGGTGAGACATTGGAAGCTTTAATTATGAACGCTAACGACTATGTTTGTTTGTACCTGATTGTGTGATAAATACTGCATGTATATAACATAGGACTTATGAAATTAAAATTTATATAAAACCTATTCATATTGGGTTTCGAGACATCGATTTCCAATAGTTATATAAGGATTCGCCCAGTTACATATTTATGTAACGTAATTTAAAATCTAAATATGAAACTAGGTTTATCACAATTTATTCATATTTATTCACTGCATTCCAAAACGAGCAATTGGTAATTTTAATTTTTAAATTTGTACGCACTTCCATAATATTTTCTTAGAATTCTGTGGCTGACATTTGCCTGTATTTCGAAAAAATTTGCCATCCTACGTAACAAAGAGTGACAAATGCTCAGGTACATAATTATTTGATTTTGACGTTTGGTGGTGACAGTTCGAGTATTTAACTCTGTTGCGTCGATTTGTTTAGGATATTAACTCAAAGTTGACATAATATACAATATATATATAGGGCTATATATACCCTAGAATGGTATGTTATTGTTATAGTGACAATATTTCAAGTTCAAGTTCAGGAACAAAGCTTATATAAATATTTATATGATATTAAAGTACGTGTAGGCAGTATTTATATATAGGTGGACATTTTCTATTTCAAATAAATTTCCTTGATAAATAAATTATATAAGCGTGTTTTACTTGAAAGGAATAGGCTTTACTATAGTTTATAATAGCAAACAGCAATGCATCCGCCGTTTGGCGCGGTAAGCAGAGTGTATTACTCCAATGTGTCCATGTACAATAAAATTGTGAGCAAGATAAGGCTCATGAGTTAATAAGTCAACTTTATGTAAGCTAATACAAAACTCCGCGTAAAGGCTACCTGCTAATTATAAATTCCCTGTAAACATTGATTGAAAAAGGATGATGACTACAACGTATATTCTTCAACGTGACAATTGAAGTCCGTCACACTATGCTTTTAAGCTCAATGGGCCAATGGATATATACCTAGATTTTGGAGAAAACGATCATATTAAAGGGATTGTAACTATAGGTTTTCTAAAGAAAGAAAGTGTATAAGGGACACTGATGGCATTGTTTTGCACCATTCCTATTTTTATTAATTATTTTTTTTTATTTGCTTTTGAGGAACGTAATACTTTGTATTTTGTTTGATATATTTTGTATTATATATTATTTTTGTATTTTGTTATTTTGAGTTATATTCTGCATGCACCATGATAGATCTGTATTATATCTATTTCATCATTTCGCTGCAAGTTGTAGTAGGATAATTTTTTGGTATATTTGTATGCTGCCACAAAAGGTTCAAATGCAACAAATCTTATTTCTTATCTTATCTATACAGTACAACAACTGTGCATTTCCGATGGAGTCTATATTCCGAAACCAGTGCTCTGTGTGTGTGGCGGGTGGGGTGGGGGTTCGTTTATCTCGACTCATATATTTGTATCTAAGCATGATGGGATAGGCCTGCCCAATTTAAACACTTGCCACCTTGGAGAACGGAAGTTCAGGTATATCCGATGCTAATGTGAATTTATCCCTCAAAATAACATCGGTCTTAAATATAAATGATATATATAGACCTACAACTTTTATAAGCATTCCAAAATATTTTTTCTTTATTGTTTAGTTCTTTTAGCCTATAATGATGTAGCCTATGTGTATTAATCCAATATCTAGACAATCTAATGATGAAGAGAGTTTTAAGACAGGACTGAAAAGGGAATTACGATCATAATATGTAATTGTGTTACTAATAGTTCTATATTTTCTCTTCATCTTTGATAATCAAAGGAAAATATTACCTCAATTAATTCAATTTATTTTATGTGTTAGTCACATTATTATCGTAACCGTACATTGTCATATATTCATTTATTTTCTTTCTTATTTTTTGTTTATCATTTTGTAAATATGTTGTTGTAGTTTTATGTAGAAAGATCCCAGGGAAGATTGCCTTGTGCAACAAGGTGTCAAATAAATTTTTATTATTATATATTATAATATCCATGAAGCCAATCATTTCAAAGATTTTAAAATGTGAAGAAACGTATAATAATTTTAAAGCTATCAATATAGAGTTAAGGTGGTATTTATAAAACAGCACATTTCATTTGGTTTACATAACTCACGTTGAAAAAACACTAATATATTTTACATAACATAACTACTGATGTGACTGGGGTCAATATCAACCAATGAGAAGAGAGTATTTATATCACGTGATTTTTACATAACCCAGTAGTCCGTTGTTTTGTAAGTACGTCTTGGTTGTTAAATGATTCTCAATTATCATTCAGTGTAGTCGTTCGATTCCATTATGGACACTTAGTTAGATATCGAATGATATTGAACGAAGATGGTGGACCTAGCCAAACAGGCGTTTAATACTAAAAACTTTGACTTAGCAGCCGAAATTTATGAAAGAACAATCACTGAGAATGGACCAAAACTGGATTTATTTCTCGGATTGGCAGACAGTTTTGCTCGAGGAGGAAAATTTAATAAAGCTTTGGAAGTGTATTCTGCTGCCTATCGGTTGGGAAGGATAGGCGAGGGACATTTAAAACATTTAGTGACATCTTTAATTGATGCTGTGCAACAAGATCGCCCGAATTCCAATCCAAATAAACCGGCTTGTATGTTTTCGTGTATATTGTGTAAGGGTATATTGAATGACCCAGTGACACTTCCATGTGGACACACGTATTGTAGGAAATGTTTAGAAAAAGACCCAAATAAAAGATGTAATATGTGTAATACTGTTCATTATAAAATCAAAATAAGTTCCATCAAATCAAACGTTTTATTATCAAAATTGATTGAAAAATGGTTCAGTGACGAAAATAAGGCAGCTGTCTTGAAAGCCAAAGGAAATAGTTACTTTGAAAAACGTGACTTTACAAAAGCTATAGAATTTTATTCTCAAGCCATATCTCTAGGTAAGTTTATTTTCTGAAAATCGTGATTAATATAAACTTCCGGAATTATATTACTGTCATTGGGCTTATATAAATCATTTGCATATTGACGCCATGTTTGGCTTTTCTTTTACCCCAATGTAAGATTGTAGCATTTGGTCATTTGTTATTGTCAGTTGTTTTCATTTTCTATTAGACCAACTTGTGAGTGTAGACCAACGTGGTTAATTAACATGGCGTGCAATTTAAATGATAAATTCTATCATGAAAGGTGTGACAATTAGATCTTACTGCGAAAGTACAGGGGAGTAAGTGTAGTTAATGGCTTCATTGATAGCCTTGTTATCGTCCAATCAATGTCGAGTATTTTTGTGACGTAGGAAAGTTGACCGTGAATTTTTATTCATTCATATGAAACTGTGTCTGTTATAAAACCTTACATAAGCTTTTGTCTTATCAACAGTCAAATATATCTGACCATTTAAGGTCATGTCTTTGATTATGAAATAAAAACTTATGGGTTATCAATAAAAAAATGTTTGTTGCCATTACACGACCAAAATCTTTTCGAATGGGATAACTGTTCATGGCACAGTGGACATCATATGATGTTGATTACGAAATGTTTGTTGTCGTGGCCGATAAGTCGGCCAGGTAGTCCGTTGTCGAAAAAATACCAATAAAAGTACATTTTATAGTATAATAATAAAGGTGGTATAGGTCAAGTCGGTGGAATACTGACCGAATTATGTAGGGCAAAATGACCGAATTATTTCTATTATTGATTTGCCTAATAGAGAATAAAACTGGTATAAGATATCTTCTGTAGAATCATAATTAATAACCCATTCTTAAAAAATATTTTCATTGGTAAATTCATTATTCCATAGATAATCTAGGATTCTCAATACTATTTTTGGAGATATATTCATAAATTGTTATACAAACATTTGGTTAATTTGAATATCAAAGAATCATAGCCTCAAGTCAACTCAACCAAGGATTGAAATAAAATTCTCTATACCAAGTTATCAGTTGTTTCTCTAATTCTGATACCGTTATCTTTTTATTTTCTTGCAGATAAAACCAATCACCTATTACTGAGTAACCGGTGTCATGCTTTAATATCATCAGATAGATACATTCAGGCTTTACAGGATGCTGAATTAGTGATCAAACTAAGACCTGATTGGCCCAAGGTAATTTAAATTTGTTTCAATTTTCCTCCATATTTATATTTGACGCAGAATGAAGACAGTTCAGTATATAGTTTTGAATAGATTATTTATTCTCACATGTCACATTCCAGGTGCTAATTCATATGAAAAAAAGGCACCAAGCAGTTGCTTAGCAAATATTGTGACTTGAACTGCTGTCCACGTGCGGGTCCATCCTTCTGAAATTCCTTCTTGAATTTTGATACTATTGTTGTATTTTTTATATCTCTAAATTAATCTGTAAATAATTATCTTTTCTAGGGATATTTTCGTAAAGGTGCTGCTCTATATGGTTTAGGGAAGTATGAAGATGCTGTTGTTTGTTTTCTACAATGCTTAGCATTAGATCCTAACGTCACGTCAGCTAAAGACAATCTTGCTAAAGTAAGGCTAAAACTCTACATCTTCCTTTTACTGTTTGATTTGTTCAGTTCAATTACTTTTTTTGCGGTCCAGTTGCTGTTCATTTGTATCAGAAGCACCGTACTGCTAGTACGAGATGAGCTCTTGAATTAGTGCCATTTTCCAAAGTCTAGGTGTGCAGTTTCTGTTCAATTTGAAATGAAAAGAAATTATTTGCCTCATTATAGTCCTCATTCGAAGGTTTTTTTAAACAAGCTTCATTTGATCTCTACTTCAGGCATTGCATTACATTTTATCTGCACTTCCTCCAGAAGATCCCAAACAACTTGCCATGCAAAAAGAAATGAATCCATCCATGTTACAGAAGTTAATACAAGAGAATTTTGATAGTACTATATTACTACCCCAGTATAATTTAAACTCAATATTCCAACTACAAAATATAATCAGTGAAACAATCGCTTCTGCTGACAATTTTACCTCTGTTGAATCCCAACAGGTAAGAATTTATTACTTTACTTTATGATTTGTGTAAGAATTCTTCTACACAATAACAAAATATGTTTACTGTTGTTGATTTCTATAGATATAGTCCATGGATTATGTCTACACTTTTACAAAATAAACTAAGTCTTATTGGCCATAGGTTTTCTATGATTAAATTCCTTCCTTCAATTTTCTTCGACTTTGCAGTGTTAAAAATTACATGGGCTTTTAAAGTTCTTTCAGGAGGAGGTAAAACTTCAGCATCTATCATGATACTTATTGGTCTTCAAACCAAACTATTTCATATCATCCCCCAAAATTTGTGACCATTTTATAGTTGGCTTGCATTTTGACAATTTGTTTACAATATTTCAGGCTTCTTCCTCATTAACCAACTGTGATAAAACTCAATGTAAGTACTCAGTTTTTTTGTTATTACTGATGAATTATAATTATGACTGACAGATTGACAAATTACCCTTCAATATTTTAATAAAAAAATAGTTATTGTTGTCAGCTTGTATGAAGAGCCTGAATCAAATTTCTGTTATAATTTTAACTCTTGCTATATCAATCAGCATAAGCCAAATGACCGTTACTAATCACATCTTCCTTTAAATTTACAGATGTTGAACAACTACGCAATGCTACATTTGAGAACAATGATGATGCATCTAGATCACCCTCCCCTTCAACTCGGAAAAGAGGCCGATTGCCATCTCAAACTTTACCAACAAGTCCAACAACTTCTTCACCTCAAAAATTTCCAAGTAAGTAACATACAATTTTATTGCAATTCTACCTGAAGAAGTTAGAAGCCAGTGCTCTGTTTCTTGAAAAATCTTTTACAATAAGACTTAACAAATTTGATGTGTAAATGTTCTTGTCACATCCAATTATAATGACATGTATATTGTTGTAAAATATTGCTTTAACTGTTCATAATAGTTAATTTAGAAGCTTAGAAATAAACATTTGCATGAAAATAAATGTGGTATTTGAGAAAGTCTTTAACCTGTAGACACAAAGCCCATATCAGGGACCAAATTGATAATATTTTAAACTATTTGTAGAAAGTGAAGAAGAAATGAAAATAAAGACAGGACTAACACGTATTATACCTACAGAACTATTAAATAAAGAAGATATAGAATGTGCTCTATGTTATCGTGTATATTATGAACCAGTAACTACACCATGTGGTCATGTATTTTGTAAGAATTGTCTGGAGCGATCCCTAGACCATCAGAGTATGTGTCCACTCTGTAAAAGTTCACTAGTTGAGGTGAGTAAAGGAGTTAATTTGCTGTAATGATAAGTTTTCTGATATAGAATAGTTTATTTATTTCTGTAAAGTGTTAAGACATTCACTCAAATTCTTATGTTTTAAGACATTCATTCAAACTATCATATCATTTCAAGACATTCACTCAAATAATTGTGTTTAAATTCGTGTTGTTTATTTTTTAATAGTATTTAGCTGAAAGAAGACAGTCAGTAACAGAATGTGTTCAGAGTATTATAGAAACATATTTTCCTGTAGATTGTCAGGAGAGGAAAGTTCAACATGATCAGGAGGTGACAGAAATGACCAAGTAAGTATATTTAGGATTCGCTTAAGTGAACCTCTTAAATAATTAACAATGGACATTAGTTCCGAATTTCAATTTCTGAAACTGAAGATGATTAACCTACTGTGAAAATATCACATTAGGTTTTTGTGCTACCTTCAATAATATCTTCCATTCTTGACACGCTTAAAGTTTATATTTTTTAACTTTTGTTTGAAAAACAATTTCATCTTCTTTAAATGTTTTAAAAATGGTAACATATTTGTGTCAAGTTTTTATTTTTGTGTTAGAGGAAATAAACATGTTATATTTTTTTAAACCAGTTTAAATGTCATATTGTTTTTATTCTATCAAGTTATGATGTGAATATTTAGTTTCATTTGATTTATATTTGATTTTGTTTCAGAATGGGCATAGAAAATAATGAAATCCCAATCTTTGTGTGCACCCTTGGTTTTCCCAGTGTACCATGTCCATTACATATTTTTGAGCCACGATACCGCTTGATGGTACGACAGTGTATGGAATCTGGAACGAGACAATTTGGCATGTGTTCACATACTACAAAGTAAGTATTTATCACATTTATAAGTTATAAATCATGTCCATTATTTTGAATTCAATCTCAGAATATCTTTAAGGTGTTAATTTATCAAAAGTGTGAATTTATCAAACTTGCTATTAATTTAAAACAGAAGATATCTTTAGAGACAGAGCAAACAAACATTAGTGTCTAAATTTCAATTGTTCTCTTTTCATAAATAACATGCAAAGTGTGAAATAGTCAATTCACAGATTTTAACACTTTGTTTATAAGTCTGATTGCTGAAGGTCATGTGGTTTCTTGACCTTCTAGTTAGTCTAGTTAGATCTGATAAATCATAAGCCAGATCTCTCTTGGTTATTGTGTAAGCCAGTGGGTCTCTTACAACTGATCTGTCAGGGATGACTAATTGTTACCGGAAGCTGTTTATTATGTAATCGTGAATTACTGAAATATAATTGCTCTTGTTAGAGTAAATAGTTCAAGGTGTGGGTGTAATCTTCAACCACTGACAGTTCATTGCTCTCATCAGTGTATAATTAGTTCAAGGATGGAGTGTTTCTTCATAAAATAGCAAAATAACTTGTAGCTATATGAATACACCAAGAGAGGTGATATGGACAAACTGAGTGGTGTCAGGTGTTCTTGAAGATAGAGCATATCCTGTTCACATTACTGATTCTAGTGGAGATCATGTTAAAGTCAGAGTGGGGTCAGGTGTATTGTACTCTGCCTCACTTCCACCATGGACCACAGCAATTATTATAGTGAAATATTACATAGTATCTTTTTCTGTTTTTAGTGATGAGTTTTCCGATCTAGGATGTATGCTGGAGGTACGAGAGGTACAGTTTTTCCCTGACGGAAGATCTATATTGGATACTGTTGGTGGAAGGAGATTTCGAGTAGTAAGTCGTGGACATAAAGATGGGTATGATACAGCACAAGTTGAATTTCTTCATGAAGCACCTATAGATCCCTCAGAATTACCTGGTAGGTTGATTATTATCTTCAAAAATTTAAATATTCCTTTTTGATTTCTTCTGATGCATTTGGATGGATATATCATAGAAAAAACAATATGAGTTATGTGGAATCACCAGAAATAAGCCAGCTACGAAAACCAAATTGCAGAATGTCACAGGGTGTTCCAGAAATATAACATGCTGGGGATGGTGTTAAAATATTGAAAAAACAACTTTGATTTATTCCAGTATCTTATAATATACAACACAAACCATACAAAATATTTCTTTCAATGGTTCGAGTTAAAATATTAGTCTGCTTGTGAAAGTCAAACATACATGGAAATGAACTTGTTCATAATTCATTTAATATTTTTTTTCTTCAGAAATTTTGAAACTTCAAGAAGAAACATATCAAGCTTGTAAGAAATGGTTTAGCAAGTTATCTGTTATGTATCAACATAAAATTACTAGCCATTTTGGAGATTTTCCTCCCATTGATCCAACCCCACATCTATCACCTAATGGACCTAAATGGGCTTGGTGGATAACAGCTGTCTTACCTCTAGATCCCAAAGTTCAACAGGCTCTGTTAGCCATGATATCATTTAAAGAACGTATTCAAGCTTTACAGAAAGTTCTGAATTTTCTCAATAAAAAACAATCCAAGTGACTAGGACACAGACTATTTAGTATTGAGCTAAATCCAGTGTATTTATCAGTTTGTGTTTTCTTTATTGTGCTAGGAATGACTTTGAACAGTTTACATATATTTTGATTTTATTAATATTTATTCACAAACCCATCCCCACCTCCCTCACAATTTCCTCTCTCAAGAAAATACTAGTCCAGCATTGTAGTCCTAAACTCACCCTATATTTAAGTGAACCTAATAATGTTTAAGACAATTTAAATTTAAAATGTGTTAAAGAGAATCTAATTTGAAACATGTTAATGTTGGGGATTGTGCTTTTTAATTGTTTATAGCACCTTATAAAATAACATCTCATTATGTTTTCAATAATTATTGTCATTTTTTCTTACATTATAATTGTGTTATGATTAGAATTATTCACATTATACATTGCCCTTTCAAATCTAGGGTGATAGCCTGGCACTTACAAATCATTAAATGCCTCTGGAATAATATCACATCTTCAGAAATGAGGGCTCATACACTGTTAAATCATATTTAGATTCGGCAGCTTGTGACCCACTAGTTTGAAAATAGTGATATTGTAATGTTGATGGAAATATTACTGTTGAATTGAATTTATTAGGCATGGTTAGTGACTTCTTCAAATTTAAGTAATCGACCCAAGTGATATAATTAAAACTTCGTTATGTTGTTAAAAGTGATCATAATGAAGAAAGGGTCATTGAAAGGGAGGTAACTGTTGCCTCCACCCTTGAACACAAAATTGTTCTCCATTCCCTTGTGATATTTATAAATACATGTATATTGTCTACAATATACATACTAATTTGCACCTTTATACCCTAGCTTGTATTATTGCTTATTAAAGTTATTACTTTTTATTAAATCTGACTATATCAGATGGTATCAATGATAAAATCTTGGACTGCTTGTAAATTTGTGTATATCTAACTTTATCTATTAAATCTACGACTTGAGTTTATTTTAATTATTAATGTTGGACTATTAAGGGGGTGTGCCGCTGGACCCCGTTGACATGAGCGCACCAATTACTGAAAATAATTAGCTGGTGTAATCCTCTCTTTATGCATCTGATGTCAAATAGTGTAAAATAGGCACCAAAAAAGTTAGATCATATATTAAATATGAGTTATTATATATACAAGTCCTAGCATGCGTCGTGTATGGTCCAATACAACTTAACATTTAGCATAATATGATGTCTTTGTGCATAATTTAATATCTATAATATATGATAGAGTTAAACATTACGTCCCTGTAGACCTACTTTTAAGTATTCTCTAACTGTGTGATGTTGTATAAGATACAAGATGACCCAGACAAAATCCATTGAATGGTTATTATGTATTATGACATACATTAACTAATGAATGTTAAATATATTCCGGTCTATGGTAATATAGATTCACTTCCTCATCGTCTTGTCTGCAGGCGAGAATCATTCTCCCTGATAAACGAAAAGGGAACTGGATTTACTGACTGACTGCAAACACGAATCTTTTGAAAATACGACCCATTCGATCATATCGAA